ATGAGGACCCAGATTGTTGTTGGGGGCAATATGCTGACTCTGTAAACCGCTTAGAGAGACCTGAAAGGCCTATGAAGCGGTATATAAGTCTACTGCTATTGCTATTGCTATTTCTTATTGCTACTGTGGCTTGTTCCACAAACCAGGATATCTGAGTCCCTTCATATTGGTCAATTCAATTGAAAATAAATATCATAAGTTGGTTGTTTTGAGTGGTTAAAGTCTGATTTTTGTTTCTAAAGTCAATAAGCAATTTGAAAAATAGGGGTAACAGTATCCATTATATTATTAATGTTGTCAACAGTACTTTCCATTGTTTTAAATGATCATCTTTTAAATTTTTGACAGAAAAGCCTTTTCTCTTTTTGGGCAAAATGCCACTTCTGGTGGAGACAATTCTCAGAGAACCAGCTAAAGTGCCTGTATTATTCAAAGCATATCCACTCCCAGAAGCAAAATGGTAAGAACCTGAGCAAATCTTATTCTTCTTTAGCTTCTCTTCCTTTCGGTATGCATTTTACAATGTCCAATCACATAGAAACACTGAAGTTGTAAAAGAAAATGTTGGGCTTCTGATTCCTTTGTGAGTAGCGGAAGAAAGCCTAACCCCAAATAAAGTTTTATGCTTTTGTTATTATGGTGATGTGACTTACTATAAAATTATTACCTCTGGAGCCACATGTGGCTCTTTCATCCCTCTGCTGTGGCTCCCTGTTGCCGGTTGGCTCCACAATTGATAGAGTTTTCAGTTAGGACAAGTAGAAGAAAAAGGATGCTGCACTAGGAGGTGACTCTATGGTGGTGGTGGTGGGAACCGGACTTCCCGTTGGCAGAGGAAAAAGGATGCTGTGCTAGGAGGAGACTCTATGGTGGGGGAACAGGACTTCTGGTCAGCTGCAGAATTGAATGGGGGGCTTCTGGTTAGGACCTTTGTGGGTCTTTGAGTTTTTAAGGTTGCCGACTCCTGAACTATACACTTAGCATTTAACTGCTTCCATTTTCTTTTACATTTTTCTTTTTAAACAAATGAAAATCCTTATTTAGCACTGAACTTCACTGAGAATTGCAGACTTGCAACCTTTCCCCCCCCCCCCACCAATGGTGGGTTGTAGGTGGTACGCCCCAGTACGGGTGTACTGGTGCCTGCCCGGAGCACTGGGTACCATTCCGGTACGGTGCTCCGGAGGGCCCACCCGCCCGCCCGAG